TTATCTGGATCAGCAAAGTAAGACAAGGACATTAGAAGCAACCCACTTAAGATCTCAAATCCAGTTACAAGGAAATAGTAAATGAGGTTGAATTCTCAGTTACTGATAGGACTCATCTCCAGACAATAGCTCCTGTGTGTGATATCTCTCAAGCTAGACTGGACTTGGGCAAAGTTGGTTGGCTTTTGGGTTTGTCCAAGTTTTATAGCACTCTCATTTCTAGAGAAACTGAATCTTAAAGTCACCTTAATCTTAATATCACTTTACTAATTTGTAAAAAAGGAGGCAGTTGGACCATATGCCTTCTAACAAGCCTTCCATGAACCTTTCATTTTATATCCACAAGAATACAAAGAGAGTTGCCTTTCACTAAGAATCTGTATAGATGGGATTCAAAGGGGAACGCAGAGGAGCAGGACAATGTTGGTATTATATTAAATTTAATGCATGCTAAGAGGAACAAACTGTAGGTAGCAAATGTTAAGTTTCGTGTATAATCTCCATCTTCTGGCTTTCTATGTGGATGGAAATATTCATGTGTGTTGATTATCTTTTGGTTCATAATAAAACAGATTCATTTGGGGGAACAAGGGAACAAACATTTACTAAATGCCTACTATGGAGCAGGCACTATATTAAGCACTTAACAAATGTTATCTTATTTGATTCTCTCAACCTTGTGAGGAAGGTGCTATGGTGATCTCCATTTTACAGTGGAGGAAACTGAGGCAGACACTAGTTTAAGTGACTTTTCCAGGACCATTCAGGTAAAAAGTATCTGAGTTAGGATTTGAACCCGGGTCTTCCTTACTGTAGGCCTAGTGCTCTATCCTCATACGCACAGATAGAGTCAATTTTGCCCTACTGCTTGCTTTGAAAATGCAAATATGCTTCAATGCAATAGTATAGTAGGGAAAATTTTGGAGCATGATATAAGTTTCATGTTTGCTTATGAGAGATTTTGTACATGAGAGACAGTAAAAACAGGAAATCCGCACCACTTTACAATACCTCATAAGCCTTCCAACACTCACTTCCAAGGAAACTTCAGGTCTTTTTCAAGGTAAAGTGCCATATTGATTGTGTATTTTCTGATGCAGTAGGACTGGTGGTTGGAGGAGAGATGGTCCAGCCTCTTCCCTTCTCCCTTTCCCCCTCCCCCTCCCACTCCCCCCATTCCTCTCTCCTACCTTCTGCCCCAGCCCTTGATCTCACATTTCCGTGGTAGCCATCAACTTTGTCAGCCTGGGACCTGTGGGAACCCAGGTGCAGTGAGCAGTAGCCTGCAACATCAGATGCTGCCACTATGTATTATAATATTTATGATATCTTGGCATGGGCAGCTAGGTGGTGCAGTGGATAGAGCTGGAGTCAGGAAGATTCATTTTCCTCAATTCAAATCTGGCCTCAGACACTGAATAGATATGTGACCTTGGGAAAGTCACTTAACTCTGGTTACCTCAGTTTTCTCATCTGTAAAATGAGCTGGAGAAGGAAATGGCAAACCACTCCAGTATCTCCGCCAAGAAAACCCCAAATGGGGTCACAAAGAGTCTGGCATGCTGAAAAATAACTAAACAATGACAACATGATTTCTTAACCATTAGCAGGTATGCAACTATGCTACCAATTTTCTTAAGTTCCTATCTTTTTTTTCTCTATTTTAGTAATAACGTTTTTCAGTGTTGTTTCCCTAACTCCATTTCCCCTATAAACTCTGTGTTGTTTTTTTTTTACTGAATAATTTTGAATAGCACAGTGATTTTTAGGAACAATTATGTTGCATTTTAGCAGAACTGACTGGATTTAACTTAGCTCTTTTGTTCTCTGCTTATAGAATCCTGTCTAGTCTTCATGGCCCAGTTGCTCTCTAAGGACTTCCCTGACAACTGAAACTACAGTGTTTTTTTTCCTCTCTCTATACCCTGGCAGTCCTTATTCATAATCCTCTCTTTGTCATTATACCTTATATATTATTAAAATGTTGAAGCGCCCATGAAAAAACTAGGTCATCATGGGATCATAGGATCATATATCTAGTGGTGGGGCCATCTAGTGCAAACCACTAATTAAACATATGAGGAAACTGAGGTCCTATATTAAGGTAACTTGCTAAAGGTTGCACAGGGCAAGCTTCCAAGGAAATCTATGAACCCATGTCTGTCAATCCCAGAGTCTCCGTGCTTTTCCATGACATCAGTAAAACAACAATTACTGTAGCAGGACAAAAAATTAGGATTAGATTCAATCTGCTATAATTTCCCACCTACTCTGTAATACTCATGATGGAAAGGCCTCTAGTGAAAAATAAAATAAAATGCTGAACTTGTGTTTCAATCTAAGCTCCAGCTGGCCCTTTCTTCTCAAGAGGTTTCAATTAAGTTAAGGGTTTTTTTCCTGTTTATAAACTAGGGTGAATTACCTCATTTTCCAGATTCTAGTAAATGAATGTTCCCTAGCCACTGTTCCATAAGGTGTATATAGCTAGCTGGCTATTAAGGTGAAAGGTCAAGTCCTGGTCATTAGGAGTCAGAAGCCCTAATGCCCCTCACATAGGAAGACTAGGAATAGAATAACTCCTGGAAAAGTCCCCTTGGTCTTAATTTGGAAATTTGGAAATTTGGAATTCTCAATGTATTAATTTTATATCACTTTCTGCTTGGAGAAAATTTCCTGTAATGAAAAAGTTGGCTTTTTATGGATGATGGAAACCCCCAAAATTGGACATATGTATTGGATTTTGTTGGATTTATGATTTCATTTGGGTGGGTACTCTCCATCCACTGATGCAACTCAAATTCCTTCTATATCTTCTCATACTATATAATTCCCATCCATAAGATACATAATTTTGATTGTGCTCTTGTCAAAGAGTAGATGATTCTCGTAGTTCAACTCTGGGCACCATGTTTTAGAAGGTGTATTGACAAACAGGAGGGTGCCAAGGAAGGAAGGAAATAAGAATTTGTTAAATACTTACTCTGTGCCAGGCACAAGCACTTTTCAAATATTTCATTTTATCCTCACAATAAGGTGCTATTATTATCCCTATTTTATAGTTGAGGAAATTGAGGCCGACAGGATTGAAGGATTTGCCCAGGGTCATAAAGCTAGTGAGTATCTGAGGCCAAATTTGAACTCTGGTCTTCCTGACCCTAGGCCCAGTGTTCTATCCACTGTGCCACCAGCTGCCTTTCCCTAGAGGAGAGCGACTAGGATGATAAAGGGTCTGTAGTTAAAACCAAATGAGGATGGGGTAGAGGAACTAGGGATGTTGAACCTGGAAAAGAGACTTAGTGGGGATAGGAAAGCTGTCTTCAAGCACCGAAAGGGCTGTTAAGTGCGAGAAGAGCTGGAATTGTTTGGCTTGGTACCAAGGGATTAGACCGCTTCTGCTTAGTAACATGAGTAAAACTGCAAAGAGGAAAATTTGGGTTTCTTGCAAGAAGAATTACAGTTGTCTAAAAGTGACGGGGGTTAACTTAGGAGGAATTGATTTCTCCATAATTAGAGGTTTTAAAATAAAGGCTAGATAACTACTTCAATCAATCAATCAAACATCATTTATTAAGTGCCTACCATATGCCAGATGGCAGCTAGGTGGGGCTGTGGATAGAGCACTGGCCTTAGAATCAGGAAGCTTCATCTTCCTGAGTTCAAATCCTGCCTGAGACACTTACTAGCTGTGTGACTTGGGCAAATTGCTTAACCCTGTTTGCCTCAGTTTCTTCATCTGTAAAATGAGCTGGAGAAGGAAATGGCAAATCACTCCAGGATCTTTGCCAAGAAAACTCCAAATGGGGTCACAGAGTCTGACACAAGGGAAACAACTGAACAACAACGAATATCTGTGCAAGGTGCTGGGGATACAAGTGCAAAGAATGAAATAATCTGGGGCAGCTGTGTGACCCTGGGCAAGTCACTTAACCCCGATTGCCTAAAAAAAAAAAGAATGAAATAATCTTTCTTCTCAATAAGCTTATATTTTAAATGGGGAATATGACAAGTACATGAAAATATATACAGCATAAAGACAAAGTTAATAAATATAAAAATATATGCAAAGTAGTTCCCCATGCCTGGAATGCTCTTCTTCCTATGTTCTACCTAGTGACTTCTCCCTGTCTTCCCTTAAGTCTCAACTAAATTACTACCTTCTACAGGAAGCCTTCTTCAATTCCTCTTAATTCTAGTGCCTTTCTTCTCTTAATTATTTCCTATTTATCCTGTGTATTATTTGCTTTGTATATGTTGGTTTTCAGGTTTTCTCTCCCATTAGATTGTAAGTTCCTTGAGAGCAGGGACAGTCTTTTGTCTCATTTTGTATACCTGGCACTTAGCATAGTGCCTAGCACACAGTAGGCACTTAATACATGTTTATTGATTGGTTTATTGATAGTCTGAGAGTGATCTAACTTGATGTTGGGGAATCAAAAAAAGCTTCATGCTGAAGGTGAGCCTTGAGCTGAATCTTAAGAGAAGAACTCTCATCTCTCTCTTGGGAAGATGAGGTGAAAATAAGGAAAGAATGCAGTCTAGGTATGGGGATGACCAATGCAAAGGTCTAGGGATAGAAAATGGAGTGCGGTATGTGAGGGGCGGAGAGAGGGGCAATTTGGCTGGATCTCAAAATGTACATGGAGGTATATTGCAGGGGAAGTAATGTCCATAGAGACTGGAAAGATAGGTTGGGGCCAAGTTGTGAAGGGGTTTAAAAGTTAAACAGATGAGTTTCTATTTTATCCTACAGGGGAGAAGGAAACCATGGGTGTTGATTGGATAGGGTAGTCAGATCTGCTCTCAAGGAAAATCCCCTTGGTAGCAGTGAGTAGGATGAACTGGAGGGGGGAAAGACTTGGGGTAGGAATACCAGTTAGTAGGCTGTTACAATAATCCAGGTGAGAGGTGATGAGGCCCTGGACTAGGCCAGTAACTGTGTAAATAGAAAGATGCTGCTTGCAAGATTACCTGTTGAATATGTTGTAGAAGGGATTCTTTTTTCAGGTATGGGTTGGACCAGATGGCTATACTACTGACTTCTTGTCCAGCTTTGACATTCTCTGGTTCTTTGAAGATTCGGTGATTCTGGAAACACTGAGTTTGGAGCTCTTCATCCAGTTCACTTCATTCAGTCACTTAAGCTTCCTGAAAAAATGAATTCACATTGACACTAGCATGGAGGTCAGTGATGGCATTTCAAACTGGATGTTCCATAGACACCTCCAAGTCCACATGTCCAAAACTGAATTCCTTATTTTTCTTCCCAAACACTCTCCTTTTCCTGTTTCTATCAAAGGCACCATTTTACTTTCAGTCTCCCAGCACCATAACTATGACTTCTCAGTCTTTCTTATCCCACAAATCCAATAAGTTGCCAATCTTGCCATTTCTACTCCCATGATATCTCTTGCATCTGACCTCTTCTTCATACTCACACAGCTTCCATCCTCATTCAGGTCCCTATCACTTCTCACCTAGAGTATTATAATAGCCTTCTAATTGGGTTTCTGGCCTCAAGTCTCTCCCAACTTGAATCTATTGTATATGCTGCTGCCAAAGTGATTTCCATTAAACATAGTGCCCATATTAGTGCCCTATTCAACCAATCCCTGGTGTCTCCTTATTGGGATAGGATAAAATAAAAACTTCTATTTTAACTTTTAAAAAACTTTTACAACATGGCCCAAACCTATCTTTCCAGCCTCACTAAAAATTCCTCCTCTTCCCTGTGATCTAGCTAAATTGTCCTTCTCTCTGTTCCTCACATACCATACTCCATGTTTTGTAATGGCCATCCCATGGCTGGATTGCACTCCCTTTTCTTCTCTTCCTCAGAGTCCCTGTCTTCCTTTAAGATGTAGCTCAAGCACCACTTTCTACATCAATCAATTAGTCAGTAAACATTTATTAAGTGTCTACTATGTGCCAGGCACTAAGCCCTGGGAATACAAAAACAAAAAAGACAGTCCCTGCCCTCAAAGAGTTTATGATCTAATGAAGCCTTATGATCTATACAAAGTCTTTTCTGATTCTCCCTGGCAGTGAATTCCTTCTAAAACTATTTTATATTTAACAACTTTGAATATATTTGTATTTATTTTCTTTCTCTTAATTCTTTATATGCATATGTGTGTACTTGGCATCTCCCTTATTAAAATGTAAGTTTTTTGAGATGGGATTATTCTATTTTTTGTTTTTCTATCTGTCTAGCACAGTTCCTAAAATATAGCACGTCTTTAATAAATACCTGTTGCTTAAGTTTTTATATTTAAGTGTTATTTATTTCATTGTAGCTATTTACTATAAATTTGAGGCCCCTGATTTTCCAGAGTAATAGTTTCCAAAATTTATCTCTAGTTTTAGCCTTTAATGAGTGGTTAATCATACTCTTATAATTACCTAAGGTAATATAACACAAAGGATTATTTCTTTTAAAAACTTAGTAATTGTTTGCCTAGTAAACATCCATTGCGAAGGAATTTTTAAGTCTGGCATGTGCATACGCAACCTAACAATAGTACATTGACATGCCAGAAGTTATATCATTCTTGTACTCCCAGTAGTTCTAATTAATTTTTCATTTTTTTTGCCTACTGTGCTATCCAGTTTAAAGAGTCAAAATTCTAATAACTTAGAGTCTCATAGAGATATAATGTGCTACTCAAACTAATGAAAGAATACTTGTATGGGAGAAAATATTAGTTAAAAGATATAGGAAACAATAATGACCTAATGAGCTTTAAATCCCACCAGTAAGTAGCAAATATTGATTAAATATTCTGCTTAAACACTAACTAGCATATCCAACTAAGCCAATAGTTTTCTTTCTTTTCTTCCCAATCCCAATTACATGGACCCTGTTGTCTACTCACCTGCTTACAATTAGCTTTTTTTCTGCTAGTAAGTTGTTGGCGGTGAGAGTGAGGCTAGAACACACAGAGGCCTTTGGAATGTTGTATTTCCTTACTTCCTCTTTCTCTTTGAAGGCAGAAATGAGAGTAGCATGTTAGGTGCTGGTAGAAACCATTGGGAAGATTGACATCTCAGAGGTCTTGGCTTAGAGAGTTATTTTGGTTGATATCAAGATCTGTGTTATGTAAAATTAATTTTATTTACTGGAATTTGTGCACTTCCACCAAAGTTCCACTCCAATGGTTCATCATGGTGTGAAAGTGATGACCAAGGGTTCAGCAAGGCAATCTCAGAAAAGCCCAAATTTTTCTGGGAGTAAAATGTTGCCTTGAAGGTCTTCCTTTAACAAGGTTTCTCCTCTTCATACATCAATTTAAAAAAAAGATTCCTTTAAAGAATTAAAAGTGGAAACAACTTTGTTTAATGATCCTCTTATCATTAATACTGATTAAGGCATAAACAGAGGCAGTATGGTGCCATATAGTAATATAAAGCTTGCCTCTGAGCTAGAAAGACCTGCCGTTTCAGTGGCACCCCAGATAGAACCCTGGCCTTGGGGTCTGGAAGACTTGAGTTCAAGTCCTGCCTTTGATTTTTTTTTTGCTTGTTTTTTGGGCAATTGGGGTTAAGTGATTTGCCCAGGGTCACACAGCTAGTAAGTGTCAAGTGTTTGGTCTGAGGCTGGATTTGAACTCAGGTCCACTGCACCACCTAGCTGCGCCTAGATTCTTAACTAGTTGTGTGCCCCTAGGCAAGCCGCTTAAGCTTTGTCTGCCTCAATTTCCTCATCTATAAAATAGAGATAATAATAGTAGCAAGCTCAGAGGGTTGTTGTATGGATTAAAAGAGATACTTATGTAAAGTACTCTGCAAACCTTAAAGTGCTATATAAATGCTAGCTGCTGTTGCCATAAACGATGATGACTACTAGTATTTCCACTATTACTCTTATTACTACCACTACTTCTACTCCCCCTCCTCCTTCTACTTCTCCTCCTCCTCCTCCAGTCTCATTTCTAACACATGTTGACTGTGTGACCCCAGGCAAGTCTCTGTGCTTTAGGTATCTCCTTTCGACTATAAGTTATAGAGAAGATAATGATTTGCTTTGCTAGAGGAAGTCTCATTCTGGGAACTTCTTGCACTAACGAGATTTCAGGCCTTATTCCAACCCCAGCCCACGGAGTAAGGGAAGGGAAGGGAGGGAAAGGAAATAAGCATTTATTAAATGTAATCAAGCATTGTGCTAAGTACTTTATGAATATTAATCTCATCAGATCTGCAAAACATGGAAAGATGTATCCTTCCCTTTGCTGCCATCCTGGAGGATGTTCAGAACAAAACACAAATGGAATATGGATTCCTTTTAGATGGTGAGGTCTTCCATACCCTTCTGTTTCTGGATGACATTGTGCTAATTGAATTAAACCCTAGGATACCACCAAGCCACCTAAATGAAATCCCAGATTATCAAAGGAATTTGGCCCAACTATCCAGACAGGAAAGACCAAGTGATTGAAGAATATACATTATTATGTAGGAGATGATGTGCAGTTTGGTAAACAGTCCATAAAACTGTTTTTTCAGCACATAAATCTTGTACATACACTGAAGATAGATAAAAAAATCAGGTCGAGCATTGAGGAAGGGGAAGAGGGCAACTTGGACTGAAGCTGGGAAATGATGCTGTGTTTTTCATGGCCTTGGGCTCTTTCCTGACGCAAATGGCTAAGATTTTGATGCCAATATTTTTCCAGTCATGCTATATGACTATAAATTATGACATACCATAGTTACTAAGGAATTAATGTTATGAGTCACCAAAAGTCAGTGGAGAGTTGTGTGGCAAATGTAAATAGTCTGTATCATATTGCCAACAAAAAAATATTATGCAACACAAATGGTATAAGATGTATCATCAAAGAGATATATGTGACTGGAAGAGGAGGTGGGCCAAGGACAAAGAACCAGCATACTCCATTGGAACCCACGTGATATCCAGAGATCTAAATGAAGGCTCCTAGCCCGTGGGGTGGACATATAAAGGATTTACGGGAAAGTATGGACAAGAGTCACACAGTATGAGGGCATTCTTTCTTGTTAGAGGGAAGGTCTACATCAAGGAGTAGATCAAAGTAGCAAAAGAGAATCATTGTTAATCTTTTTAATAGAAAACTATAAAAAATATTGAACTCTGAAGCCATAAGGTACTTTATGGGGTCAACCAGAGACTGCATGACATTCATAGGGGACATTGAAATGCTTAGAGGGTGGTTCATTAATTTTGCTGATCAGGGGTTTGTTATGGAAAGATATGTTGGAATACAATCACGGAAAGTTTTGAATACCAAGTTGAGAGCTTTTTACTTGATTCTACAAGAAATGAACTATTTTGCTGAATTAGTAAGAGAGCATATTAATACGTCTTTTTGTATGACATTCAAAGTGATCTGTTCAGGTCAATTCAGTTCAGCTAGGGAAATATTTATGAAACAGTAAATATGTACAAAGGCACTGTGCTGGATTCTGGGGATACAAAAGTTTAAAAAAAAACAACCACAGTTTCTGACCTCAAAAAAGGTTACATGGTAGTAGGGAAGATAAAGCAAAACACAATAAGTAGAATATTTATTATTTATTTTGTTTTTCTTTTTGATGAGGCAATTGGGGTTAAGTGACTCGCCCAGGGCCACACAGCTAGTAAGTATCAAGTGTCTGAGGTTGGATTTGAACTCAGGTCCTCCTGACTCCAAGGTTGGAGCTCTATCCTCTGTGCCACCTAGCTGCCCCTTTTTAAATTTTTTTTTAACTTATTTTTATTTTTTGGCACCTAACTGCCCCTTCGCAAATAGGTAGAATAAAGATGGAATGTAGTGGGGAAAAGAGTAGATGCAGATTAGTAGTCTAGGGAAAAATGAAGAGGAAGAAATTAATTTTATCTGGGCCTTGAAGAAAGTAGAAAGATGTCAAAGAGACATGAGGAGGGTATATACATTCTAGGTATGCCAGAAAGGCTTGAAAGAATACATAGGTCAGAGACAGAAGGATAAAATGGAAGAGCAATATGGTTTATCTGGAATATAAAATGAGTGAAGAGGGAATAATATGAAATAAAGTTGAAAAGGTAGACTGGAACCTAATTATGGAATGCTTTAAATTCTGGCTTGGGTTACTGTATGAGTTGTCTCATTAAATTTCTAGCTGTTGTAATCAAATAACCATCTTTTGGCAAGTGGAATAGCCTATGTGTATAGTGACCATATGTCCTTGATTTTCTGGGATAATCCTTATTTCAAATATTCAATGCCATTTTCTTCATAAACTCAACGAAAAAAAATTAATCCTTTGCCAGACTGTAGGTCCAAATTATGGTTTGAACAATGTTATTACTGACCTTTTATGGTTTAAAATGAGGTTTCTGAAGTGGGCTCTCTAGCCCTCAATTATTAATAGGGGAAACCTTACTGCCTCTGCCACAGATAGTGTTAGTAATAATAATATTAATAATAACATACATCGAATATGTTAAGGTTTTCAAAATGTTTTACATACATTATTTCATCTTATTTTTCACAAAAGCCCAGTGAGGAAGGTGTTATCACTATTTTCATTTTACAGATAAGGAAACTGAGTTGAAGGGAGGTTAAGTGACTTACCCAGTGTCAGACAGCTACAAAATGTCTAATTTAGGATTCTATTTGACTCCAACTCCAACATTCTATCCACTGAGTTTTCTAGTTGCCTCAAAGTATTGTTAAAAGGCCAATGGTACCTGAGAAGGATTACACACTGGTGTCATAATGAAGGCTTCTGAGCAGGTATGGGGACAGCACGAGGTAACCAGTTCCTTGGGGTAAGTATGGCTGGCAGGAAATGATGGAACAATGATGAAGACAGACTTTGCTTATTTGGTAATTTCGCCCAAGGTTAGCCCTGAGAATACATTAATAAAACAGAGGGATTCTGTGCCTCTTATAGATATGCTGCTAACTCAGTAATGAGCCAACAAACAAACTATTAGCTTACCAAGTACCGGGCCTTTTTGTTCTCTGCTTTTGAGTGTTTTCTGGCCAAATACTTTGGGGAGGTTGAGAAGGGAAGAACAATTTCTCCTCCCTAGTTGCTGGAAGGCTGTATACTCAGAGTAAAGGAGAATTATTGATGCCACTTCAAAGGCAGCATAGCTTAGTTCCTTCTGGGTAGGGAAGGGGTAGCCTCCATGTGACTGGCAATATGACTCTAGGCCCTTTATTCTGTGGTGTGTAGAAATTTGGGTCCTCTGGAGCAAGGCAGTATGTAATCCAGCTTTAAGAAGAGGCTCTAAGTTCACTTGGACTATTGTTATAATGGTTATAGTGTTTGCCTCACTGAAATGAATTAATTGTGACAGGCATGTCCCTTTCAGCTATACCAGCTTCGTCTTAGTACTGTGTGCCTCTAGCTTGGGATATTTGCCACTAGATAATTTTAAAGCAATATATTAAAGAAGGTTATTATAATTATTAGACCTAAGGCATGTGATCCATTTTTATGAGGGGTAAAACAAATTCAGGATATATGCCTTTTCCCCCCAAATAATATACACAATTCACATACTCCTGTTGAATATAAACTCTTTGAAGTCAGGAATTAGTTTTGCTTTTATCTTCATATCCCCAGTGCATGGTGATTTAGATAAAGTGAGTACTTAAAAATGTTTATTAAATTTTAAAAAATATTAACAAACTTATAAAAACATAAATTTGCTCTTATATATAACCCTTATGACAGAGACTTCTTCTGCACGTGAAGAATCCGGTTATACTTTGGGAGATTTCCCACTTCTCCAACTTATTGTGCTTACCAATCCAGGGCTCTCTCCACTGTACCACATAGACTCATTAAATGTTTTTTCAAGCAACAGTTTTTGTGTATCTTATCCAATGCATTCACGCACAAACACCTACACACATATACACACACACATACATATATATATGTATATATGTGTACACATATACATATGCATAACAGAGAATCAAGGAGGTTGTCTCTAACCAAGAATCCCTTCTTTAACATCTATGTAAGAGATCACTCACTCTTTATTTGAGATCCTCTAGTGAAGGGGAATGTCCCAGGTCCTGAAGCAACCATTGCACTTTGGGATAGCTCGAATTATTGGGATGTCTCTGTTTTCATCAAGCCCATATCTCTCTGTTGCTGCCTTTATCTCTTAAAAGAATGAAGATACTCAATGGAATGAATGCAAAGAATTTGGAGCTACTACCGGGTGAAATAAGGTGAAGGAGAAAAATAGTATTCATTAAGATGACAAAGGGAAAGGGAAAAAAATCCCTAAAGGATTCTGAATTCTGAGTAATTGAGAAACAAATAATAGCCCCAGGATGATTATACAATGAAGTGTACCTTCTTCCTCTGAATAGCAGGCCTGGGGGTTAAGGGGGCAGAATGTTGTATACATGGTTGCTGTATCCATTGTTTTTGCTTAACTGTTTGTTTTTGTTAAAAAGGAGGTTTCATTTCCAACTGTCAGAAAAGGGAACATTATCTTCTTAGAAATTGCTGTAACATTTTTGAAAGACACAATAAAACACATTTTTAAAAAATTGTCATGATATTTCATTGTCATGAAAGCCTCAGTTTCTCCATTTGTAAAATGATAATATTAATCTGTCTCGGGAGATTGTTTCTAAGAAAATGCTTGCAATGCATAAAAGGTGTGAATTATTTTAGTCTGCCCTTTATATGCAGTAGGGTATGTTAACAGAGCAGGGATTGCAAATAATAGTTTCTATTTATTGCTGCCTTCCACACCAAATATTTGTGAAGTTCAAATATTTGGACTCTTGAGAAAAGCTGTGAAACACTCTTACTCCACCCTATCCAGGGAAGGAAGAGATTGGGGAACAAAAAGTCTAGCCATAGCCTTCCTGAGTCATTAACTGGTTCCACAAAAACATGATGCTTGGTAAAAGTGTTATGAAGACAGTTGGTTTCACAGGAACAATTGCAAAATTATAAAAATGTATGAACACTTAAAATGATATTTTATGGTTTTATTTAATTTTAATATTAATGATGAAATTGTGAAACAACATTGGTTGGGGTCAACCTTTGGGAGAGTTTACCTATACTTTTCTCCTGTTTTAGGAGATTCACAGAATACAGCATGTTCAAAAAGGCTTCTGAAGGACTGCTGAAACATAGAAACATTGTAAAGAAAAGCAACTTTAAAGACAAGACCTCTGATTAATGCAATGACCAACCATAATTCCAGAGGACTGATGATGCGACATGCCACCCTTCTCTTGACGGAAAGGTGATGGACTGCGGGTACAGATGAGACCCATTTTCAGATGTGGTCCATTTATAGATTTGGTTGTTCAACTATGCTAAACATTAAAAAAAGGGAAGAATTGGGGGGAATGGAAAATTGGAGGGAAGAGTGAGGGTAGTTATAGCAATGCTAGAAAAAGGAAGAAAGAAAATCAGTGAAGCATTTTTAGAAAACAAAAAAGATGAGAAGGAGCTTAAAAAGTGTGACAGGACCAGTATTTTCCTGATGCAACTTCCTTTGGTCCTAGCTTCCCCTGATAAAGCTTCTTCTTTCCACGCTCACCCTCAAAGCCAATATGGAGCCTATATTGGGTGGGTGGGTGCCTTAGAACAAGAGGTTCACCGTATTCCTGTAGAACTGCAAAGCAGACCCACTTTGTAATGAAGCAAGGGAGGCCAAGTCTACCAAAGTTAAGGCTAAGTACCATCGTGTCCTCACTGTGTCTGGGCAAAATAAACTTTTTTTTGTTATATGTTTAATGACTTTTCAATGCCTCATTTCATCCCAGAATTGAGCCTGAACAAAGAGTGTGCTGGTATCAGAGTCATACCTCCAACAACTGGGTAGTTTGTGCATTGTCTTTCCTTCACGCTTGAAGAGGATCAAAATGATGTCACAATGTTGGGGTCAACATACAGAGTGTTTGACTGTGGCTGATCAATACAAGCTCAGAAGGCGCTACCACAGGTCCGGCACAAATAGTCCATGTGACCATTTGGGAAGCAGATGTCTCTAAAATTGTAAATCTCACATTTATTTTGAGCTACTCCAATTCTGCTTTGCTCATAGAGCACAACACTTTCTTTGACGCAGGCACACCACATTGGATTAATCCCGTGCCGTGTCTCACAATTGATACCGAAGTTCTTCAGAGAAACTTTGAGAGTTTCCTTGTGTTACTTCTTCTGACCACCATGTGAGTACCTACTTTGTGTGAGTTCTCTGCAAAATAATCTTTTAGGCAAACATATGTTTGGCATTCAAACAACGTGGCCATCCCATCGGAGTTGAGCTCTCTGCAGCAGAGTTTGAATGCTTGGCAGTTCAGTTTGAAAAAGGACCTCACCCAAAGGGCTATAAAATTATGCATGTGCTTTGATCCAGCAATACTACTGCTAGATCTATATCCCAAAGACATCCAAAAAAAAAAATGGAAAAGGGCCTATTTGTACAAAAATATTTATAGCAGCCCTTTTTGTGGTGGGTAAGAATTGGAAATCAAAGGGATGTCTATCAATTGGGGAATGGCTGCACAAGCTGTGGTATGTGATTGTCATGGAATATCATTGTGCTGTAAGAAATGAGAAGCAGAACAATTTCAGAAAAACCTTCAGAAAAGATTTCAGAAAGACTTGGTGACTGATGCGTAGTGAAGTGAACATAGATGCTGTACCCAGTAATGGCGATATTGTTTGATGAAGACCTGCAAATGGGTCCAGTGCTCAGTACCTTATCATCTTCAGAAGCTCCCTAAGACAAGTCAAGCAGAAGCAGTTTGATCTTCTGTCGTGGCACCGCTGTACTGTCCAGGTTTCCCAGGCATTCAACAATGAAGCCAGCACAACGCTTTGTAGACCTTCAACTTTTGGTGGGCAGCCTGATCTCTCTTCTTTCCCATACGTTCTTTTGGAGCATCCCAAACGCTGAGCTAGCTGTGGCACTGCATGTGTCAGTCTCGTTACCTGTGTGAACATCCCTGAAAAGTATACTGCCAAGGTAAGCGAGCCTATCCACAACATTTTAAATTTCTCCGTTTGCTGTAGTGCTGGCTGGTGGAGAGCCTCGGTTTTCTTAGTGTTAATTGTTAGGCCAAAATTAGCACAAGCAACAGACAATTAGTCCATACTTTGTTGTGTTATCAGCCTCAGAGGGTGCATAGGGTTTACAATCTTCTCTGAACAGAAAGTCACACACCAACTCTCTCTCCACTTGAGTCTTGGCATGTAGCCTTTTCAAATTAATTCACTGCCAGTGTGGTAGTTGACCTTGATGCCACTTTTGTCCTCACTGAGGGCCTCTGACAATAGTGTTGAAAACATCCTACTAAAAAGCATGAAAGCAAGCACACAGCTTCACTCCATTGGTGACTGGGAAAGTGCAAAAGTGTTGTCCATTATCCAGAACCTGTTCAAGCATGCCATCATGAAACTGGTGTACAATACTTATGGACTTTTCTAGGCAACCAAACTTGGCATGATCTTCCATCGGCCAATATCAAAGGCCTTGATTAGATCAATGAATGTTGTGTACAGACCTCTGTTCTGTTCCTAGCATTTCTCCTGGTCTTGTTGGGCAGCAAACACTATGTTGATCATTCCTCGGTCCTTTCTGAAGAACTAGATCTCAGGTAGATGACCATCTTCCAGGTGAAAGATCAGCCAGTCAAGGAGGACTGTGGCAAGAATCTTGCCAGCCATGAGTAAGAGAGAGACCCCCTGCCCCCTCATGATTGTCACAGGAACA